GGGTGGTCTGGTTAATTGGGTCTGGTTAATTTTGGTGTGTGAAAATATTTTATTATGGAAGCATTAGGATCATAAGTAAGAAAAATAAAAAGTGTAAGAAGGAGCTGGAGAGATGGTTCAACAGAAGCTATTCTTCCAGAGGACCTGAATGTAGTTCCCAGAACCTACACTGGGTGGTTTGGGAGGCAAGGGAAAGTGCACAGATACATATGAACAGAAATCGATATTTAGCTTGATGTGGTGGTATATACCTTTAAAACAGTATTTATAAAGTAGAGGATGCAGGTAGAACTCTCTGAGCTACACAATGAGACCTTGTGTCAAAAACCAGAAGTATAGAAACAAAGACGTGTGTAGAAACTGCCAACGTTTGATTCTGTACTGTTCGTCAAATATACATGAGTCCTAATTTATATCTGAATGGGACATCAATGAATATATGTTTACATATGATTGTGGCTTCACTAAAATCTTCAGTGTGGTTAGATAAATCAAAATACATAAAGGCTTAAGAACATTTTCTTGACACGATCTGTCATACGACATGAAGTATAAAATATGACTATGGGTAGTATCAGATAGAACTGTAAGCAAGACAACACATTCATTATCGAGTCTGTTCCCACCTCTCTGGAGTCTGACAGAAAAGGCCTACAGACCCAAGGCTTTGCAGAGCAGCATGTGCCTAAAGAAATATTCCCTAGGGTGTCCCATGGTCTCCGGTTCATGAATGTGACATTAGTAATAATGCCTGAAGAATGATCAAGCTAATTCACTATTTTCAGTAAGTATCAGTACATTTGAACACACAGCTGATTGAGACATACCTGTCACTCATTCTGTACATTTGTTTTCAAAACTCTGGAACCTTATCTGATCCGCAGCTCATTTTGTTATACTGTCCCCCTATTTGCTGGTTTCCTTCCCTAATCAAATCAGTTGTGAGCTGCCATAAAAATACCATAGTCACCTAAGCCGCGCTTTTGATAACTTTGGTTTTATTGAAACTGCCACGCTTATTTTTACTTGTACATAAAATGGCAACAGTATTAGAAACATTAAAAGACAACTAACAATACCAAGCCCATAACGTCCATAACTGAGGGACTAACACTAACTTCCTGCTGTTCTAGCCTTGACTTCTGTAAAGATTTAAAACCAAAATGGGTGGTGGCGGCAGAGTTTACCTTCATAAACATGGCTGTCCTAGAACTTACTATGTAGACCAGCCTAATCTTGAACTCAGAGATCTACCTGCCTCTGCCTCCAGATTAAAAGTATGTGCCACAACAGACCAAGCCCACATCTTGACCTACAAATGTTACTTCATTATTAACTAAATGTGCAAAATCTTTTATAATTTATGGATCGAGACAAATTATCCATAAAAGAAGGTTTACTCTTTTAATCCCTTTATAACTGTGCTTTTACTTAGCAGTGACTTACATTCCGAGACGTTGTGAGGCATTTCATTATATAAGAATATCACAGGGGGAGTCTGCAGAAACTAAGGAGGGGAAGCAGTTGGTGACCAAGACAGAAGCACTACACTACCGCAATACATAGGCCCCTAAGTGCCCCGGCACTGCCATGGAACACATGACTACATACAGGCCACTAGCATTAAGTACATCTGTGTGCTTTGTGCCAATACCACCACCATCCTGAAGAAAAGAAACACTGTATGAAGTAAACAGTAACTTCCAGTTTTTGAGAGTGATCATTTTACTTTCTCTATGAAATCAGGATACAGCAGAAGCCAAATATAAGCGGAGCCACAAAGTGTGCGTGTGACAGTGTGACCGACTTATTACAAGAACACTGATCTACTCTTCAGGTCCACCTGCAGGACACTATCTAACTCTAGTTACCCAAATAACTCATTTCCACGTACATGGGAGAATTTGTGCTTCAGACTGAGTATTAGGAGGACATAAACAAATTAGCATATGCGGAAATGGAACACCTGGGTCTTGGGGTTAATATCAGCTTTAATCAACTGAAGAACTAGCATTCCATTCTCTAGTAGTGATACCAGTATACAGTCTCATCTCTAGGACACAGGGTGTTCAACTGTCCAGATACTTACTAATAAATCTCATTTTCCTTATTTCATTTGATTATTTATATAGAGGACTTCTTATTGAGTAGAGTAGACAACACAAATGTTAAAGAACAAAAAGAAAACCCTTTGAATAGGTACTAACAGAGTTTGAGAAGACATAAAATATTAAAGGGTCCTAGGAAGTAAGAGAATTTAATTTCAGTGTTCAGTAAACAGTCAACAGTAGTGAGAAAGGGGAGAGTGGAGAGAACCAGAGAGGTGAGGAAAATCTCTGCCAAGGCCGGAAGAATATCATCCCCATTACTCTCTGCTGAAACCCATAGTAATCTCTAAGCCTTTGTCATCATAAGGATTTCAATGAAATGAGGTCAGGAGAGTATGCACATATTGATAGTAGTGGTATTAAAGAACAAATACCAGAGATTTCTTGCTTCAAAAATACAGAGGAAAAGACAATTAGAGGACATCAAAGAGGGCAGTGGACTATAAGAGAGGAAGAAAAGACTTACACAAAAACGACCTTGACAGTGTTCTGACCATGACTGAAAGCCTTCAGAAATCTGAGGAAAAACTTCTGTTATTTAATTCATTCAATCAGTGTATTTTGTCACGGTAGTCAGAACAAATTAATATAATATCCAAAATTGAAATGTAAGTCATTCTTTTCTGTATGTGACTTTGGAGACAGAACCCAGTGCAATGTGGGCCATACAGTCCAAGGCTTTTTCTCATGTCTTTCATTTTTAAAAACAAATCACACTTTATTTTGTATGTGGTGAGCAGCGTGTATATGCAGAAGCCAATGAGAACTTGAACTTTCAGGGACAGATTCTCTTCTTCCATCATGTGAATCCTGGGGACAGAATTCAGACTGTCAGGTCTGGAGGAACGTGCCTTTACCCTCCAACCATCTCACTGGCCATAAAAACATACAAGCCAGGAGAATCTAGCATGGCAGTACACAGTGGTTTTGCACTTCTGCTTGTCCGGCTACTGCCTCCGGAGCTGACATTATGAGAGCGGGCCACCTTGCAGGCAAGACAATGGTCTCAGAAGGACCCCAAATTACTTTGAGATTTTAAGGCAACAGTTTTACCAAGTTGCCCAGGCCAGCCTCCAAGTTACCAGGTAGCCTAGATATGCCTGGAACTTGGGGTGCTCCTGTTGTGGACTCCTAAGCTGGTATGACGGGCCTGGGCTATGACACTGGACTTTGCTTCTTTTGTTGTTTTATCCAATTCTTCTGAGCTCACTCAGATCAAACAAAAGAAGTAACTTGACAAAAGCCATTTCAAAATAACAACCATCTTAAACACTAATATTTGTAGCCTTAATTAACTATTATAACCTTTGAGCTTTAGAGGTAGGTAGAGTAATCCAACTGAATATTTAAATCGAGTAAGAGTTAAGAAAAAGGAAAAAAGGAGAGAACTCTCTGGATTGTATTTCTCAATTTGTCATTTCTCCTGTTCTTTAAGTGAATTAGAATTCACAGAGAAAACATTTATCAACAAATAAACAAGAATGACCCTAGTCCATGGAAACTAAACTATGACTACAGAATAAGATAGTAAGGCAACTTTCAAATTATAGCCATTATTTTGTTCATATCCTTCCAAATTGGAGTTTCAAAATTTTTTAAAAAAGGGTTTTTTTTTGTTTTTTGTTTGTTTGTTTGTTTCAATGTATGAGTGTTCTATCTGAATGTATACAATAATCCAGAAGAGGGCATTAGATCCCACTATAGATGGTGTGAGCCACCATGCGGTTGCTAGAATTGAACTGAGGACCTCTGGAAGAGCAATCAGTGCTCTTAACTGCTGAGCCATCTCACCAGCCCCTAACATTAACTCTTAACATTAGATTAGCTGTGGATTCAGACTATATTTCAAACTGTGTTTACTCCAATACTACTGAGTAAATTTTATAGTTCTAAAGTATATAGATTCATATGCAAGTAAATATACATGTATATTGGATAGTTATAAAGTATACAGGTTCATATACAAATAAATATACATGTGTATATAACTACATAAAACTCATGCTTAGATATTGACATTTAAATGGATAGAAAGATATATACACTTTCGCAGTTTTGGTGACCACTGACTTTAATCTCTGCACTTAAAGAGGCTACAGGAGGCTTATGTGGGGTGTTACAGGTCAGTCAGAGCTACACAATAAAACTCTATCACAAAACAAACAAGAAGAGATACATATTTGTATTCACATACTTATATAATGAAGAATGTTTATAGATAGTAGCAATATCCTTTCTATACACCACATAAAGGGAAAAGGTTTTGTTTTGTTTGGAAATGGGGTTACACTGTTTCCTAGGCTGACCTCAAATTCATGGTCTTCCTCAATCAGCCTGTAAAATACCTGAAATTACAGGTGTATAAAATTAAAATTTTCTAAATTACATTAAGTGCTATACACTTGTAATGCTCCAGAGGCAAAGGTAAGAAGATCATAACAAATTTGAGCCCCACCTAGTCTACATAGTGAGTTCTGCCTTCAAATAACAGAAGGAAGGACTGAGTGACGGAAGCAAGGAGGGATGAAACTGTCAAAGTAGTCGACATTATAAGCAAAATGAGATATAAATAACAGAAGAAAAAAATTCACTTATAAAATAAAAATTATAGTTATCTATGAAATAAGAAGTTCTACAAAGCAATTAACATACAAAAATAGTAATAATGAATAAATATATTGAATTCTCTTAAAGTTTATCAAAGAAAGACAATTAAAATTATTTTTATTAAATGAGTTGTTAAAGACTCAAGTGAAAATAAACAAAACTCTTTGAAACATTAAAAGTAAACTGGAAAACAACTAATAGTTTAGATTCACTTTCAGACATTTTCATTAATTTTTAATATTTTTATTATATTTCTTATAATAATCTTTAATATAATTAACCAACCTGGGCCACTTTAATTGAATTCTGGGTAGAGCCACCAGCATGATACTCAACTTTGAATTTTTTTACAAGTTCATCAAACCTACAAAGAAATTACAGGAGAAAGTAAGTTAGCATATGTCAACTTTCACAAACTGCAGACTCGAATTAAAATATAATTAGTGCAATCCTAAAATCATTTATTTGTATTCAAAAATGAATTAAATTTCTTTGTAAATACATATCATTAAGAATCTAAAGAATATACTGTCTGAACTAAGCCATTATACTAACTAGACAGTAAAATAAAGTTAATAGAGTTGTCAAATGAAGGTCACGTATGGCAAACTAATGATTCAAAGCCAGAATCGTGCTGGGCAGGATGGTGTAGCCTGTAGTCCTAGGAGATAGAGGAGGGGTTAGAATTCAAGGTTACTCAAGGGCAGCCTGAGCTCAAAAAGCAAAGCAAAACATAACCAAAGAATCTAACAGAGTTCTGATTTGAGAATTATATAAAATTTAAAAATGAATATTTCCCTCTTATTCACACAAGGGTTTTCTACAAAATAAAAGTGGAAGATCTAAAAATTATACCTTTACTTTAGAACAAAAAGATCAATGTTCTACGAAACCAAATCTCTCCATCACCTCCCCTCCCACCTGACGAAACTACTAATGTATATTTCATCTCTATTTTTTCAATTCTAGACACTTTGTATGCAAATTGAACTATATAACATGGTTTCTGTAATTAAACTCTTTCACAAAAAAATACTTTCAAGGTTTTTGGTGGTTTGAAGAATGGCCTCCATAAATACATTCATTTGATTGCTTAGAGAGTGGAGCTATCTGAAAGGATTAGGAGGGGTGGCTTTGTTGAAGGAAGTGTGTTACTATGGGTGGGCCCAAGGCAGATTTAGTGGTTTTCCCTTTCTTTGTGCTGTCTGTGGATCTGGATATAGAACTCTTATCTTCTCCAGCACCATGTCCGCCTGTGCGAGCATGCTGGCTGTCATGACAATAACGAATTAAACCTCCAAAACAGTAAGCCAGACCCAATTAAATGTTTTCCTTTATAATAGTTGCTGTGGTCGTGGCCTCTCTTCACAGCAATAGAACTCTGACTTGGACAAGGCTTATATCTATAGTAGGTATTTGTTATACCATATTTATTTATGAGTGTATCCATTAATGGATCCTTGAATTGCTTCTATCTTTTTTCCTATTATGAATGCATGTATAAGCTTTGTGGACACCTCCTCATTGGTATTCAGTGTGTGTATTCCTCTGGAGTCAAATGTTTTCTTCCATGTTTTACTTTCTGAAGAACTCTTATCAGCAACCTACCTAGCAAAACTTGATTGTCTAATTATGTGGAAAGAGAAAAAATGGAACAGCAGTTTTTATCAGGTCACTACTGTGGAAACTATGACAACTAGTTAACAGGCAGTAGTGCAAGAAAAATGGGCACCAGCAAATAGAAAAACGGAAAAAGCAGATCATAAAAATGCCTTAAACATTAAACACCAATGGAAAGATCCACTCAGGAGCCAACAGCTGTCAAGTTCAGAGTAAGAGACCAGCAATCATGAAAGAGAAATAGGGAGTTGACAAACATGAAGAACAAGACAATCCAGACATCTTTAGACCCTGAATAGTCTGACCAGAGAATAAGGATTTGAATATACACTTACACAGAGTTAAAAACTTTTATACTAAAGAAGAGCTTAAAAACAGCTTTAAAAGGACTTGATGTATTTTTTACATACTGTTAATCTTTAAGAAATTCTGATTTGAATTCATTGACATGAATTAATATGTTCTTATATAAAATATATATGATGAAATTGTGGGACACAGACTTATTTTCGGGGGGCGGGTTTCTGAGACAGGGTTTCTCTGTAGTTTTGGAGCCTGTCCTGGGTGGAACTAGTTCTTGTAGACCTGGCTAGCCTCGAATTCACAACAATCTGCCTGTCTCTGCCTTCTGAGTGCAAGGATTAAAGGCGTGCATCAACACCACCCACCCACAACTTGTTTTTATAAAAGCTGCACCATAACTATTTATTTTCTATTAATTGTAAATAAGAAATTCTAGTCATGTTGAATGAAGTATTCTAATAACTATGTCAAATGATAAATATAAACCATCCCAAATTCTTTTAGTATTTTGTACCAACAAATGTTCATGCTTTGCATTTTTTGTTCTTTTGACTTTGGTTTCCTACCTTTTTGGGGTGAGGGGGACACAATGTCTCACTGTGTACGCTTGGCTGGCCTAGAGGTCTCACATTTCCTTGACACTGCTTCCTGAATGCGGGGATCAAAGGATGTGCCACCATGAACAATATCTTTTTATATATTTGCTTAATACAGTCAGCCACTATCTCTAGGTCACAGCTTCATACAGTGAAGCTGCATGTTCTAGCTTGTAACAATGTAGCGGGTAGACAATTCTAGGAGTACAGAATGCATTTTATTCTCCTGACTCATTTCTTGGATTTTGGATATTTATGTTTTTTTATATTCCTTATTATATATGTATATCATGGTAGGATAAACAGCTTTTGACATGGACTTTTTATGTTTTGCGGTTTTCTCTGGGATAATGCCCCTCCCTAAAATAGAGTTACAATAATAAGGTGTGGGAGTGGCTGGGAGAGAGAGAGAGGAAAGAGATCGATTCCGGGTGCATATTGTGAAATTGTTTTCTGAGAGATTTCTGTCATTTGTCAAAATTTTCGCATCTCTATTTAGTGCCAAGTGTAATTCACGCACTCACCGAATTGCTTTCTGGAGAAATCTCTATGTATTTGATTACTAATAAGAGGGGTTCATTGCTCTACAACATTTATCATTTTTTTACTATTTTCACTGCACATTTGTCTGACTCTCAATGTTTTTTGTTTATATGCGATAAAGTTAGACTTAATATTAAAATTTCTAAATTTTTATTAATGTTAAACTTTTTTACTTTTATATATGAAAACCTCAATTTTTATATATTCCAGATTATTCATTCTATGTACCCCTGCTTTCTGGAAGCTAACAACACAGTTACCTGTGTGGATATTAAACTGTAGTTTTAGATTCCCCCCTCTAGCATAAAATATACTTTCCAATGTCTTTTATCATCCTTTATAAGAAATTTGGTTTTAGCTTTTTCCTTTTTAGATAATCTTTTTTTTTAATTTGGGATGGTTTATATTTATCACTCAACATAATTATCAGAATACTTCACTCAACATGACTAGAATTTCTTATTTACAATTAATAGAAAATAAATAGTTATGGTGCAGCTTTTATCAAATCAAGTTCTGGCCAGGTGGTGGTGGCACATACCTTTAATCCCAGAGGCAGGCAGATTGCTGTGAGTTCAAGGCCAGCCTGGTCTACATGAGCTAGTTCCAGGACAGGCTCCAAAACTACAAAGAAACCCTGTCTCAGAACTCCCTACCCCCCAAAAGCTCTGTATCCCACAATTTCATCATAGATACATTTTATATAAGAACATATTAATTCATGTCACTGAATTCAACTCAGAATTTATTAAAGAGTAACATGTAAAAAATGCATCAAGTCCTTTTAAAGTTGTTTTTGTGGTGTGTTGATGTCTGAGATAAGGTCTCACTGTATAGCCCTGGCTATACTGGAACTGGCTTTGTAGACCAGGCTGGACTGGAACTCAGAGATCTACTTGCCTCTGTCTCCCAAGCCTAAAATTAAAGGCAAGTGAGACCCACACCCAACCTTTTCTCTAAAGTAGTTTTAACGCTGATTTCATAGAATATGTAGAAATTAAATTCTAATTAATGCTTTCCACTCAGTTCACAAAACCCTTCAAAAATAATAATTCCTGAGCAGTTAACATAGTTATCGATGCACAGCTCTGCTTGAGGAAAACGAGTACAGCAAAAGGAAGAAGAGAGGCCTTGAAGATCAATGAGAAACATGGTGAGCAGAGCTACATTTGAACAGTGGCTGTCAGTAACAAATACCTTGAGACTATACACAAAATAAAAGAAAATACATACATAAAAAGTTACCAAGTAAAATCTCCTAATATGGAAACAATGCATTCTAGAAAAAAGATAGCACTGACTTCTCAAAAAAAATTGAGAATAAAACCCATGGATCACCAGCATGCTACCATAATCAGCAAAAAGTTAACTGTGGAACCCATGGGTAGATATTATAAATGACCAAGTAAATACCGACTAACAGCATCATTCAGAATAAAAGCTCTCATGTCATTAAAATCAAGGCAGAGGCAGCAATGAAAATAAACGGAGAAAAACTATTACAGAGAAATCCACCTTCTCAAAAGCATAATTATTACTGTTATTCAAGGCAGGTTATGTGAAGGTCAGTGACTCAACAATTTAATAGAAGAGAATTGATGCTATAGCAAGATACAGTAGCTAATTTTTGAATGCTCTCATTTAAATGCACTAGTCATTTCATGAGATTTCCAGTTTCCTTTCAGAAAGGTACAGTGAAGAAAAGTAAGTAATTTAAAGTGAATTTTGAGATGTTCTGTTTGACAAAAAATTCCACAGAATTAAATAATTTGTGCTTTGTGATATACCAAATTAAGTCAGAAAAATTAGCACTCAAAAATAAAGAATAGCACTCAAAACATAAAGAAAAATCACATACATAAAAACTAAACAAGCAATCAAACAAAATCAGGCAGCTTCAGAGAGGATGACTCAGTAATTAAAAACAATGTCTGGTCTTCCGGAGGACACAGGTTTGGTGTCCAGTACACACATGGCCTCCTCACAACCATGTGTAACACTGATTACAGAGTTGTCATCCTTTTTACAGCCTCTATGGGCAATAGCCATGCACACACAAACAAAGCACACATACACACAAAATTAAAATAGAAAACAATTTATAATTGCCAGTAAGATACTGCTGGAGAAGTAGAGACAGCTCTAAGCACCTGCCAGCAGGGTTGACCATCTGAGTTTGCTCTCTGGAACCTAACACAAAAGGAGAGAATCAACTCCTAAAAGTCACCATTTGAATGTCACACTTTACTGTGCATACGCACACACGTAAATGATAAAAGGGTAAATTGTAATAAAAAAAGAA